CGTAGGCAGGCCAATGGGAGCTCTGGGCACGTTTGAATACTGGGGCGGGCAGCGGGTGGAGAGAGCCGGCGCTTGCGTGGGGCGGTGCTCACTGGCCTGGGCGCCGGCGCGCTTGCGGGAGGCGCGGGTGGCTGTGGAGCCAGCCCAGCAATGGGGAGCGGCGGCGGTGAGTGCGCGGGCACAGGCGGGAGGAGAGCGCTGCAGATCACAGCCCCTCGCCCCTGCTGCCTGCCCGACTAGGGGAATGGCGGGTCCTGAGGGATAAGAGTCCCCGTTACAGTGGGCATGGCGGGTTCGCGCCTCTTACTCCAGTGGGATCACACCGCCTTAGAGCACGGGGCACCCCCAGTCCTGAGACTGCCCGCGTCCGGGATGCGGAGTTTAAATGCCCGGGGCTCCCGCGCCCCCTCGAGGCGGCTCCTCCCGCGCAGAGGGCTTCCTGTCTTGACCCCGGGGAAGGTAGCAGCTCGGGTCTGGCTGCTGCTGCCCCTCCGGTTTGAGGGTCGGGAGCTGGCCGAGTGTGGCGGAATGAAGCGATCCGGTCACTCGGGGGGAGGCCTAACGTGCCGTCGGCGCCCTGAGGGGCGGTGGCGCCGGCATCTGCCAGCTCCCTAGCCGCGGGGACAGGGGAACCTGTTCCCTGAAGAGCTCCACACGTGCCGAGGGCGCAGTAAACACCAACTATTGTGATAGTGATTGTTAGAGATTCCAAGTGTCTGCCCTAGAAGGAGAGAATGGGGAGCGTTATATGTAAGACCTACGCGATCTGTGGAAATTAGCCACCCTGGGAATACGTTTGTCTTTCACAGCCCATTCAGTTGCTGACAGGAAGACCCAGGGCAAGATAAGGGAGGGGACAGTCGCTGGAGATGCCATAGGAGGGATTCTGTGGGGAATGGGAGGAGGAATGGATAGACAGATGGGTACATTTGTAGACGAGGAGGAGGCTCTTGAAGTTTCTGTCTGAGGTCTTCTATTTTCCAGCGAGACGGGGCAAGGCCATCTGCTTAGGAGGAAAGAATGGCTGGAGGAGAAGAGATGGCTGGAGTGGAAGCCTGAAGTGGGGAGAGGGGAAGAGCTCTTCAGGGCAAGGTGGCTGAGCTGGCTGCTAGCGTGGAGGCTGCTTCTCCTTTCATAACTGAGCCTGTGTAGGTCTAGGTCTGTGTTGGGAGTGGAACAGTCTCCTTGCTGAGTAGCTGTCAACTCCTCCCTTTAAAAAGGAAGACAGACTCAGGGACTGGGCAGCTCTGCAGAGCTCAGACACGGACTGGCGTGGCCTCCAAGTCTGTTGCTTCTCTGCAAGCTTGACCCTCCTAATTTGGACTCAAAACTAGATTTCTCAAGCCTATAGGTCCATCTCGAACATAATTGTTTTTGTTCATATGTACAAGGAGGCAAGCTGCAAAGGCCCAAGGGGCCTTCCTGAGAGTGACGGTATAAGGAAAACCCTTCTCAGCATGGGCTGCTTTCCCCTTCCTGCTTATCGTGTGGGCTCTGGATCAGAAACTGTCCCAATAGCTAAGTTACAGGATGTCTGCTTTTCCCCATAGATATTTGCTGAATATTTGAACAACTGATGATGCCTTCTGTAATTTGTATAGTGCTACTCTATTATTTAATTTTTGTTTGTGACTAGAAATATCAGTTCCTTCTCTTGTGGGACAAGAGATGGTAACTATTAGATCATCTTCAGATGTAACTTTTCATCTTATTGAAACCTATGGAATTTTTTTTTAAGTGGTCCACTGTAGGTGTGCCAAGTGTTTCTGTTATCCTATGAAGCGAAGAGTAAGAAGACGGCCCCGAAGCCTAACCATCTTGAGTCTCCCTGAAGATGTCCTTTTTCATATCCTGAAATGGCTTTCTGTTGGGGACATCCTTGCTATCCGAGCTGTAAGTTGCCACACGAAAACCGTGTGAACTCTTAGCTGTGTTGGTTACACCATCACGGCCTCACTTCCTTAAATGTCAGAGCAAAACTTTGACTATACTGGGGGGCAAAGAGAACAAGGAAGATGTTATTACTAAGTGCTTGATGATGTTCCAGTGACAGGGACGGCACACTCAGGTTTGTGTTTATTCATCTCTGTCAAAATAGTGACAGAGAAAGTTCCCTTTTATGGTGGAGAAATTTGCATCACTTAAAAAATAAGATAACAAGCTCGGCGCCTGTGGTTTGAGCGGCTAAGGCGCCAGCCACAGACACCTGAGCTGGCGGGTTCGAATCCAGCCCGGGCCTGCCAAACAACAATGATGGCTGCAACCAAAAAGTAGCCGAGCATTGTGGCGGGCACCTGTAGTCCCAGCACTTGAGAGGCAGAGGCAGGAGACTCACTTGAGCTCAGGAGTTGGAGGTTGCTCTGAGCTGTGATGCTATGGCACTCTACCCAGGGTGACAGCTTGAGGCTCTGTCTCAAAAAAAAAATAATAATAAGATAACGTTGGCCAGACACAATGGCTCATGCCTGTAATCCTAGTTCTCTGGAAGACTGAGGATTGCTTGAGCTCACGAGTTCGAGATCAGCCTGAGCACAAGTGAGACCTTTTCTCTACTAAAATATAGAAAAACTAATGCAAGAGGATTGCTTGGCCCAAGAGTTGGAGGTTGTTGTGAGCTATGATGCTACAGCACTCTACTCAAGGCGACAGCTTGAGACTCTTGAGTCTCAAAAAAAGATAATGTTAAAAAGAATAAAAAGTTATTTTGAGAACAAATCCATTTAACAAGTCTAGTCTAGGAGTTATTTTTGCAAATACTGAAACCATAGACTCACTTTGAGTGACTTAAGCTATGGTACACAGCAAATTTGTGGGAAAACTAAAAGAATCTATTTCCTAAAGCCAATTCTGTTACTTATAATATACTTTATACATGTAAAAGCCACGGGTGCAGATTTTAGTGCATAAGATGCTTACCTGTGTTCAGAGTCCTGTGTCCACCCAGAGCAGAGGCTTAACATGCTACCTGAGGCCAGTGTTGTAGGTGTCAATCTTTTCCTACAGCCCCTGTGAGCTCTGGGCCACATAGCAAGGCCTCAGTGGAGAAGCATTAAATAGGTTTCTGTCCTATCTGGCTCTATTCAGAGTCAGTTTCCCCAGTCTTTGCAGGTATACACCTTTGCAGAAATGTTACCCTTCTTCCACAACCTGAGTTCTTGTTACTCCTTCTAGGACCATTGTCCCCTGCCCTCTCCCCATTAGAACTTCAGAGAAACTTCATTTCTGGGCTTGATTCTCTGTCCAGAGCAGCTGTTACTTGTGTGCACAGAGACAAGGGTTCTTTACTACGTGGGATTAGGATGGAGACACAGGAGACCGTGTGTCTATATCCTGTCTTCAGGAGCTTCTAGGTGGCCCCTCAGTAAGCCCTGGCTCTGTGGTTTTGCAGGTACACTCCCACTTGAAGTACCTGGTGGATAATCATGCCAGTGTGTGGGCGTGTGCCAGCTTCCAGGAGCTGTGGCCTTCTCCGAAGAACTTGAAGCTCTTTGAAAGGTACGTGTACCCTGAAAACATCTCTGTTCCTATGCCTCTGGGCCTCCCAGTGTGCCAGCCTATATCCCAGGGCCTGGCTCAGGAGTAATTTTCCTATTGCTTGCTCCCATGGCTGCCTTATTCCTGGGGACTGACCGAGGGCCATAGACCTCATTCATTGAGCCACACACTGTGCCATTTGCCCTCTTCGCTGGCACAGGCCCACAGTCCTTCCAGAGGGTTCCCACATGACCCAAACTCAAGTCACTTACATATGGAAACTTGATCCAGCCTTCTTTTCCTTGGGTCACAGCAGCATGAGGTATTTAATTTCTATTGCGTTCTCCTCATGGTCTGATCCCACTGCTTGTGATCCACAGGCCAGCAACCTGCCCCATGACCCAAGTGCACTGAGGGCACGAGGCAGGCCACTCTTAAATCCAGGCTCAGACTGAAGTTTAACAAACTGAAAAGCCATAACTTGGGAGGGGATTTTCCTGACTAGGGTTCGCTCTAGCCCCCACCCACTCAAGTTGCCAGAGATCCAGATAGTAAGTGTAAGACATCTGTGTTGCCTTAGCCACCCTGGAGCTCCTTCTGGATAAACTGTGTATTTCATAGTAAGACATAATCCACACACCATATAATTCACCTATTTAAAGTGTGCAACTCAGCCTGGTACAGTGGCTCACGCCTATAATCCTAGCACTCTGGGAGGCCAAGGCAGGTAGATTGCTTGAGCTCAGGAGTTTGACAACAGCCTGAGTAAGCGCAAGACCCCATCTCTACTAAAAATAGAAAAAACTAGCTGGGTGTTGTGGCAGATGCCTGTAGTCCCAGCTACTCAGGAGGCTAAGACAAGAGGATCATTTGGGCCCTGGAGTTTGAGGTTGCTGCAAGCTGTGATGCCACAGAAGTCTACCCAGGACAACATAGTGAGACTCTGTCTCCACAAAAAAAAAAAAAAGTGTTCAATAAAAAGTTTCTTTGTTTTTTTTTTGAGACAGAGTCTCACTATGTTACCCTCAGTAGAGTGCTATGGCATCACAGCTCACAGCAACCTCAAACTCTTGGGCTTAAGTGATTCTCTTGTCTCAGCCTCCCGTATAGCTGGGACTATAGGCGCCTGTTATAATGCCCAGCTATTTTTTGTTGCAGTTGTCATTATTGTTTAGCTGGCCTGGACCAGGTTCAAACCTGCCAGCCTCTGTGTATGTGGCTGGCACTATAACTACTGTGCTGTAGGCACTGAGCCAAAAAAAAAAAAAAAAAAACGTTCAAAATTGCTCTATGTAGTTTTTGCTACATTCAGAGTTGTATAAACATCACCATTATATAACTTTAAAATATTCTCATTACCCCAAAAAGACACCTTGTACCCAGCTGGGCAAAGTGGCTCACACTTGTAATCCTAGCACTCTGGCAGGCCGAGGTAGGTGGATTGCTTGAGTCCATGAGTTCAAGACCAGCCTGAGCAATAATGAGACCCTGACTATACTAAAAATAGAAAAATTGAGCCTCAAGCCCAAGAGTTGGAAGTTGATGTAAACTATAATGATTCCATGGCATTCTGCACCTAGCTTAAGACTGTCTCAAAAAAAAAAGAAAGAAACCTTGTACCCATCAATAGTCACTCCCTATTTTTCCTACAATCCTCGAAATCCTAGGTGAGGTAGGTGGATTTTTCCCACAATCCCCTTAATCCTAGGTTAATTTTCTATCTCTGTGGATTTGCTGTTCTGAACATTTCATATACCTGGGATGATACAATATGTGATCTTTTGTGACTGGCTTCTTGCACAGCTTTCACAGAGCCTAAGGTTTTCAAGGATCATCTATGATAAAGCATAGGTGGATATTTAGTGGATAATCCATATTTGACTATATTATGTAGAAAGATGAACAAGTATTCCAGCTTTAAGTGCTATAATACTCCATAGCCTTCTGGGCATAAAATAGTGCGATGTTTTGTGTTCCTAATTTTTCAGGGCTGCTGAAAAGGGAAATTTTGAAGCTGCTGTGAAGCTGGGGATTGCCTACCTCTACAACGAAGGCCGTAAGTGGTCACCCCACTCAGGCAGTTACACTGCTGTTCTTGCTATCTCAGTCTGCCTGACTGTCCCTTCTCAGGAGCTTGTGCCCAGATGTACACTGCTGAGACATCCATTGATGACACTTTGACATTGTAGGATACAAGAGTCACGTTATGTTTTAGTAAGCCCATTAGTTTTGTTGGCAAAGAATAACTCTAAGCCATAGATTCAGAATGCGGGCTGTTCCGGCAAACCAGCCTTTCCCCAGGCTCCTTGTCTTTTGTCCTATTAACACCGAGGCCCACTTGTGGATCACAGCTCCTCTCCTTGGCCATCCTCTGTGGAACTCTGAAGACGAAGTCAGTGTGTTTAGTTTCACAGGATATCAATAATATAGGGAGCTAGAGTTCAAAGCCAAAAGCAGATATATACAGGGCAGAGCTGGGACTCTTGCATCCCAGGGGCCAGGTGCTCTTTGAAAGAACCTCGTGCAGCCTTGTTTTTAGCTTTGTTTTAGCTCTGTTGCCTGCACTGGAGTGTGATTGTATCATCAGAGCTCACTATAGCCTCAAACTCCTGGGCTCAAACAATCGGCCTCCCAGAGTACTAAGATTATAGGCATGAGCCACCACGCCCCTCCACAGCCTTTTCTTCTACCAATTCCTGCTTACCTGCTCAGGACCCCAAAGAATGAACCCACAGCCTGTGCTATCCCAGCTCCCAAGACACATAAACACTGGGGTAAGCAGGTTCCTAAAAGTCCAGCAGTTTAAGAGGCCGAAGTGGGAGGATCACTTGAGACCAGGAGTTTAAGTCCAGCTTGGGCAATGTAGCAAGAACCCATCTCTACAAAATATTAAAAAATTAGCTAGGCATGGTGGTGCATGCCTGTACCTGTAATCCCAGCTTGGAAATCTGAGGCAGGAGGATCAGATAACTTGAGCCCAGGAGTTCAAGGTTCTAGAGAGCTATGATTGTACCACTGTAGTCTAGCCTGGGTAACAGAGTGAGGACCCTGTCTCCAAAACACAAGCAAACAAAAAACTAGAGTGTAGCCTCTGATTTTCCTACTTCTAAATGGTCTGGTATCTTACTGATAGGTGTTCCCTGCCTTGGTCAGCTGTCAGAATTGTGACCACAGAGACTATAACCAACCTCCCCATCTTCCAGGCTTGGAAGAGCTGAGCTCCTACCCCACCATCCCTTCAGAGAGCAGTTCCTATGCATGACACATACACCATATAACTCACACATCTAAAGTGCACAGTTTACAAAGTTGTACAACCAAGTCCTTTGTTTAATCTTAAAACATTATTGTCCCAGAAAGAATCCCCACCCCTACCCTGCACACATTAGCAGGGTTCAGGCAACTGGCTCCCAGTTGGAGGGAAGATAGCACATAAAGCCTCCAGGCTCTGGGCAGACTGCAGCAGGGCTCAGGGTCACATAGGCATGGAGTTCTAGCCCTTAGAGGGAGAGGGGAAAGAGCCCCACCTCAGCAGACTCTTTTCTCCCAAGACGCTAACAGCTTTGCACTATGGTGGGCTTGAGGTTTTAGACTTTCAAAAAGACTGGAGAACTTTCTGTGTCTGTTCCCCCAAGACACCCTTGGTTCTGCTCTGTTTGTTCCCACAGTGTCTGTGTCTGATGAGGGCCGTGCAGAAGTGAATGGCCTAAAGGCCTCTCACTTCTTTAGTCTCTCCGAGCGGCTGAATGCAGGTGCCGCGCCCTTTGTCTGGCTCTTTATCCGCCCACCATGGTCAGTGTCTGGAAGCTGCTGCAAGGCCGTGGTCCACGAGAGCCTCAGGGCAGAGTGCCAGCTGCAGAGAGTAAGTCCCGGTGAAAGGAGTCCTGGGACATAGGAAACCTCTGAAGCTAGACTGCTGGGCTGCAGGGTTCTTGGTAGATGTGTTGACAGCTGGAAGCACCCAAGGGGCTGTACAAAGCATGGGAACTGGAGACAGAGTGGTCCTGTGCGGGAGGTGACGGGGTGGGAGGATAGGGGCACAGACACACGACTGGGGCAGCAGTGAGTAGTTCTCTCTGCTCATGATCATACTTCATTCTCTTTTTTTTTTATAGACTCATAAAGCATCTATACTTCACTGCTTGGGAAGAGTGCTAAGTCTCTTTGAGGTGAGAATTGCTCACTGCACTTGGACTCTGCATTGTTTGACACATCCCTGGCCCCTATCCAGAAAGAACTTGAAAAGCAGCATAAGAGGGCATCCATGGCTGAAAGCAAAGCTGTGCCCTACCCAGACAGCTCTAGGCCTCATGGAGCAGGATGGCACATAGGGACTAGCCATAGGGTCAGATCCTGGCTCCACCCTCACTGCCTATGTGGCCATGAGTGAGTGATGTGACCCAGCCCTGGGTGCTGGTCAGAACTGCAGAGAGAACACAGGAGGACCTGACCGTGTGGTGTCAGCTTCCCTGCCTGTGGCTGTGCTGCTGGCAGGCCTCTCCCGCTGCTTGCCCAGACGCCTCTGATCTTCACGTCCTCATGAGCTTTGTCATCAATGTGTGCCTTTGCAACAAATTTAGGGATGGAGGTGGCTTGTAGAGACAGGCGCAACAAAAGTATCAGGGAGGGGTGCTGAGGGCAGGGGCCCTGAGAGCTGCCAACATCCTGTACACGCAGCTCAGGCTCAGGGCAGCTCTGTTGGTGGCATGTGTGAAGGGCAGGCCCTTGAGGGGGTGTAGAGCCAAGTCAGGGGTCCTGTGGGCCAAGTCCAAACCCATAGGAAGACAGTAGGGCCTCTTCCAATTCATACTTCTGTTGGCTGTCAAGTGGTTTATCTTTATAGAAGTTATTTCTAGCAAGGGGCTTACTTGAGCCCAAGAGTTTGAGGTTGTTGTGAACTATGATAACCACAAGGCTCAAACCCCAGGATGACAGAGTTGAGACCCTGTCTCAAAAAAAATAAAGATAAAGGCAAGAGCAGGCTCGGCACCTGTGGCTCAAGT